AAAAAAAAAAAAAAATAGAATTGTCTTTCAAGGAGCTTCGTTTTACTTTTTTACTTTGAGTACATTTTAGAGCCTGTACTTTTTCACTTATACTTGAGTAAAGAAATTTCTTCAGCACTTCAACTTTTACTGGAGTATGTTTTAACACAGATATCTGTACTTCCAAAGAGTCTTTGCTTCTGCCAGACTTGTGCCTAAAATTTACTTATCTTTACTCTACAGAAGAAAATCTCCACTGCAAAAAAGTTGCCTTAAGAACAATTAAATCAGGGGTTTTCAAGCATAAAGCCTGGGGAACACTCTAATCCAGCGCCACTACATGGCTGTGGAAAATGTGCAGGAGGGCATAAATTTTGTATTCAACAAGAAAAGAAAATTGTTGAACCTTTTCTGCAATTTTACACATTTATTTCTTACAATTTTAAGTCAAAAGAGTTATGCTGGCAGAGTTGCAATATGATTTTGTTTTAAATCACAAAACAACAAAAACAGCTTCAATACAGTGTCTTTTAATAAGGGAAATATGCTCACAAACACTAATGAGGAATTACAAACGTCACACTAGCTGTGAACACATCCCACACAGTGTCATATAAAGCATTTATCCAATCTGTGTTTCTGTGGAAGGTCAAACTTTGCAAACTTCCAAGCATCCCATCTTCATTCATTCACCTGACTATAAATTAACAGACTGAGCATGAAATCACTCACCTTAGTCTGATTTCTATGTTAAGTAGCATTCTCACATACACATAATATTATCACAATTTTATTTGATTATTCCAAAAAATATGTACAGTCCTATACACCTTACAGATATTCAGGTGCATGCAGGCAAAAGTAGCCCAGCTGTGCCTGTGCCTCTGACTTTCACTTAAACTCTGTTATCAGATTCTAAATATACTGTGCTGGTGCTTATCGTCTGTAGCCTCAAATGCTCAAGCTACATGTCTACATGTTCCGTTCAAAGATTTACACAATTTTAAGTGTTCTCATTTATATACAGTCTGTTAAGTGCATTAAGTTAATTCAACATCGATTTTGTAGAGGAGAAGCCAGTGTATGATTTTCAGAATCAATGTTATTCTTTCCCAGATCGTCTTTTGCTGTGAACTGGGTGCTTTTGGTTCCTGTTTGCTCCAATGATGTTCCCTCAAACAGCTTAGCCATAAAGGCAAAGCCATTATTCTTGATATAGGATTTCCCAGCAAAGGTGTAGAGGACCGGGTTAGCACAGCTGCTGATGAAGGCCAAAGTTGAGGTCACCGCTCGGGTTGACTCAGCCATACCATACAATCTGCAGGAAAGTTAAAGTTGGATATTTCACATTGATGGTGATTGTTTTTATACAGAGTGCCATTATAGCCTCGTCAGACTGACTCAGTACCCCTTAATTATCACCTGCAGTATCAAGACCCTATTAAGACTTTCTCTGAAAAGATGCTTTCCTCCTCTGCATGCCATCTCAACATTGCCTCTCTAATATTACCTCTGCCGGCTTAACCTGAGCTGACTCTTTGATGTATTCATTTCTAATTTTGTACATCCTAGTCACATATGACTTCTCATTTGTCAGACCTTAAACCTGCAATTTTGGATGGTAAGGTGAACATGGTATTCACAGAGAGATTTCTGGAAGTGGTCCTGAACCCCTGCAGTGATTTTCCACAACAGAATCCTGACTGCTGTTAGTGCAGTGTCACATGAAGCCCGGATATTGAGATTTCTTCGGATTTTGGAATATTTTGATAATATTATATACTGAAGATGGCGGCACATTCAAACTCTTTACAATTATAGTATATTCAGTTTACTGGATGGTAAAAATTAAATCTAGGTGTATGTCACTGCATGCACAGAGACAGACTACATATATCAGCTTTGAATTACAGAGTATTGTTATTACTGGACATAATGCATAAAATGACAATATTGTACTTCACTAACTTTAGCACCATGTTTATGAAAATCTTCAGTTACTCACCGTTTTCTTGTTGCTGAGTCTTTTGGGTACCACGCAGCTGCCACCTTGGGTGAAAAATAAAAACCCACTCAGTAATCAATCGAATCCTCAGATAATCGATTTACAAACAGATTTGATGTGGTTATTGGGTTATTGGTAGAGAAGATGCCCTTGCACACCTGTATCATGTTGATGACATGGTACGGCAACCAGAACAGGCCAAACATTATGACGATAGCCAGGATAAGTTTCTCGCTGCGGACATTTCGTTGAAACCTGGTTTCCCTCAGGCGTTTCAGGATGAGAACGTAGCTGGTTATGATGATTGCATAAGGAATAATGAATCCTGCCACTGTCTCAGTGGTGTACTGAAGCCTCACCTGCATGAGAGGATATAAAGCCATTTCCTTAGAGATTAAATACCTAAGTCATGTCAATGTGGTCTTTGGAGGACTTTTACTTGTAAAGAAGGAATGTTTTACAGAAGAGCATTACTACATTTATGAAGGATCAATGCAAAATGATTTTCAGACTTTTGTGCAGTGCCACTGCTCATGCATCAGTATTTACGGTGTGGGCTGAAGAGCTTAAAAAACATGCAGTCTGGTGTAATCTTAGTTATTTTAACTACATTTTGAACACTAGTTAAGCTGCAGCTTCCAAGGCCTTAAACACAGTAACAAAGCTTTTCTCTCTCTCTCTCTCTTTCTTTCTTCACCGATTCAGCACTCTATCATGAAATAAACTGATATGAATTAAGAAAGCTGATATCAGCTTGTGCAGATGTTTAAGCAATTAATGCATCTTTATTTCAAAACAAACCAAAAAAGCCTCAATTTCAGTTAGTTGTTATGGACCTTTTACTCAATATATGTTATCATTTTCAGTTGCTTACCCACTATTTCTCACGCTCTCAAATGTACAGATGATTTTTGAAGGCATTTTATGCATGACAATAAATATAGTTATCAAACTAATCAGATCAGTGGCAGAAAGATAGCTAACACAAGTGTACTTACATGTTCAGACAGTGTGTGATTGGGTGCACACACAACTTTCGTTTTGTTTTGAGCAGTAGCAGCTCGAAACACCAACGAGGGAATGGAAATGACCATCACGAACATCCAGGTGCCTAGGATCACCCTCCTCACAACCTTCCTGGTGATCAGGCGATACAGTGTGTGTGGAAAGACCACGGCCAACAGCCTGTGCACGCTCATCAGGGTTATCAGAAAGATTGACGCATACATGTTGGAGTTGCACAGGTAGAACAGGATTTTGCACATGGTGTTACCAAAGACCCACGACTGCATGACCAGGTAGATGATGAAAAAGATGGTGAGAGCCATGAGGAACCCATCAGCACATGCCAAGTTGAGGATGAGGAGGGTGGTGACTGAGCGTTGTCGGCAGCGGGCCAGGATGCTCCAGACAATGAAGAGATTTCCAGGGACACCCAGGAGGAAGACCAAGCTGAGGATGAGGGCACCAATGGCTGTAAAATAGTTATTGCTCACAGCGCTCTCTTCTGCAGGTTCAGTGGGAATTGGATTTGTCAGAGGTGGGAGACTCGTGTTACTCATTGTAGAAGAATTTTTGACCCTGAAGGTGGGAAAAAACATTAGAACCTCAAACACAAACTCAGTCAACAGTTTAGTAAACAAAACTAATGACGTCCAAAACACTAAAGTAGCACTTTGATAAATGCTAACTTCATGTTTACAGTTTTCAGCATGGAACTGTCAGGTTACCAGATTGCCACTACAGTATTATTTATTTATTGTTTCATTCATTTATAATTTTTACCCTTTCCTGCATGACTTATGACAACTTCAATGTGGATTTTTTAAAGTATTTTTATTCATCTGTAGGCATGAAAAAAATGTATAAATACTTAATATATTTATATACAGGGTATGGAGTGACACATCAGTGTCCAATGTAGTAATTTATGTGCAAATATCGCATCAACACTGGCACAAATGCAAGAAAACAGCATTCGAATAGCTGTCCACTCTAGTGACCACTATGTGTGAAAGTGTTAAGATAAGCACCTTAGAAGTACTTTTTCTGGCTCTCCACACGAAATAGAAATTACTTGTCAAGACAGTAACAAGTAATTTCTGGATTAATGCACATTAAGCCAGAAATTATCATGGGAGACCATCCAAAACACGTTCTCACCTGCACCGCTAAAGCTTAAATTGTATCTTACTTAATTGATCTGAGCAAATTTATACAAAAATGAAAACAACAAAGTTTGACTTTGGTAAAGTGTGTTTTTTGACATTTACCATCAGCTCTGTACAGTTGGATTTCAGACACTTCCTAAAACCACAACCTCTTTTGTCTCTGTGTTAAGCAAATTAGATATAGTTGTTTACTTTAATATGTCTGGTAGATGAATATTGAAACTCTAAAATTTTTATCAAACAAATGCACATACGTATTGTATCTCCAACCAGTGATATACTCAGATATTATAAAACATAATTTATGATATAGTTATATATAAAAACAACATCTCATAATTATGTGACTGTATTTTTTCTAGTTGTGAGGTCTGCTAATGTGTAATTTCGGTAATCGGTAAAATGAAACATGAGGTGAAAAATATGAACAAGTGGTTTGAATGGGCATATGATCGAGAGCTCCACACTGACACATAAGTTATAATTAAAAGTGGTATTTCCATTGAATCAACCCTCTGCATTAAAAAAAGGAATTACCTGAAAAGATATAGAAACAGATAGAAAGGTATGTAAGAGGCAAAAAGTGACAGAAATTACTGAACACAGAGTTCTTTGACAATTTGGTTCATTCAATAAAAAGCCCCATAATAACCAGATACGGAAGATTAAAAAAAATGACTAATACTTTTTTAAAGAGGGACGTGTGCTACCCTGACACAGCCTCTAAAATATTTGTATCCAAGTATCTAGCCAACGATTCAGCCCTCAGAGGCAGCGTGCTAAAACACGTTGCACATTGGCAGCACTGCGTCAAAGAACAGTGTTTCAACATAGTCTTTGATTCAACTTGATTTTTTTTCTTTTTCTTTTTCTCATCTCATTTTTTCACATAGAAAACTGAAGTGCAGAAGTCACAGACATTGTCTGAGTCAGTTTTGGACACTGTAGTAAAAAGCGTCTGTACACTGATCGCAAAGAAAAAATAAATGTTGTGATTGTCTTTATCTCATTCAATTTCAAGCATTTCTTTGGGTAGAAAACCTCTCAAAAATGTTGGTTAAAAACTGGGAATCATAAAAGAACTGCAAAGAATGCCAATAACTTTATATGGAAGGGCTCCATAACATGCAGGTTTGTAAACCATTTGGTATGCATTAATTTAAACTTAGAAATTATCAAAAATATCAAAAGGAGGTCCAAAAGAAAATATGCTAAATGTTCATTTATGATATTACTCACCTTTTTATGGTTTGTTATCTCTCTGTGATGTGTTCCCGAAGTCTGAAGGTGTTCTTGTGAGCTCAGACCATAAAAACCGAACTGAACCCTTTCCTGCCTCGCAGGCTATAACATGCTGTCAGTGAGGGGAGGGATGCCGAGAGGCATGCCCTTCCTTAAAAGTCCTGCTTTTCCGTTTTCTTTCTAAAGCTTTGTATTCATGACCATGTATGAGTGTCGTATAGAATTTTTCTGTATCTGTGTATCTGTGCTAAAACAGAATATGAACTGTTATTTTTATATCCATTCTTTAAAAACGGATGTCCCAATGTGATGTACCAGAATGCATTTTTCTGTGTCCGTAGGCACTTTTAACTCTAAGCTAAGTGTTGTGCAATGAAAAGCACCCGGGGGGTTAGATGATTCAAAAGACTTTCCTGTGTCATGCATGCTGGGCACACAAGCGCAAACACGCATTTAGAGATCACACACACAACAGCAAAACCTACTTGTTCATACAAGGCTCTGTCACTGACGAAGATGCTACTCTTCACAATATAAAACAAAATGAAACAAGACAAAAAAAAACAAAGAAATGTGTTAAAAATTTTTTTAATAATATCCCAACAGCCGTAAAAAAATATCGATTTTTTAAATAATTAAAACACAGACACTTTCTGTACTTTTACATTACAGTAAATCAAAACTTAAAGGAATGTCACTTTACATTTACATAAAATCTTGTGAATTTTTAAAGACTTTTTTTCTTCAATCTTGAAAATATGTACCAGGAGCCTGCTGGAAGTGTTATTCTCTTTTTCACTTTTGGCTGGGATTTATCTTTAATCTGATGAATTAGATGAATTACAAAAAAACAAACAAACAACCATATGAAAGAGTAATCAATAACTTTGATTCCACTGCAATATACCTTTCCCCCTAAGCACCTGGTGTGCATTTATTGTCAGCATCTCCCCTGTCCTTTGCCTTACCCTCCCTCCCTCCTCCCCCATTTAATAAACAAATCAATGTAAAATTTGCACATTGAGCACCATCAGGCAAACATCATTATATTAACAGATGGCATGAATCACAGATATTTTAAAATAAGAATAAAATGAAATAACAGAAATACATATGATTCAAATTTTTCAGCGAATTGTCTATTTTAAACGTGTAAAATGCATTGAGTGGTGAGTAAGTGTAGTACGCAACATTTAGCAAAAGCCCAAAGTCAGCCTGTGGATCCCACAGAGGCATTTCCCTCTGGACAAGCAAGGCAAGTGCTTGAGCAGGCAAGCTCCATGTTTTAAGTACATAGGTTCATTGAATTGCTTTTAATCATTAGTCTAATTTTTGTAGTGCTGTGTTGTTGCACTTCAAATTGTTGTTGCAGAAAGCTGTTACAGTTTTTTTTAAACCAAAAATAATAAGGCAGCTGATGTATTTATAGTAAATACAATTTTGTTGTTCTATTTTGTTAATTTTAGTTGGCCTATGACATTCAGTATCCTAGTTAATATTGTAATGTTCACACATGCTCTCAAGAACCAGACGTTTTGATCTCTCCACGGTTTATTGTGTAGGTAGAGAAACACGGGCTGTTAACCCCTAAGACAGACCTCCGGTATAACTCCTCTCCAGCTTCGAACAACAAGAACTCCCTTTCTCTTCCTGCACACACTCACTGACATTTCCTGCTGCACAACCAAACATGTCTCTTAAAGAAACAACAACAGTGCACACAGGTAGTCAACCTGTCACAGTAGAATAGCCTTTAACAATCATTACAATATTATATCACACTGAATATCAAGTGTAAATCAATCCCAGGCACACTTGCAGCTGAACTTACTACCAATTCAGATTAAAGTCATAGATGGGTTAAACTTTCCAGGCTGGCAATAAGATGATGCAAACAACACTGCTGCAACTGTGCAGCTCTTTGAGGTTTTGTATATTGCTTCTCTGTGTGGCCATTAGGGGGAGATGCTGACTTTGCTAAATATTATTTGAATTATGTTTCTGCAAGTGTGCAAATTGTTTTCTGATTTTTTGTAATCTACAGTGCTAAAGCTCAATCTAACAACAACAAAAAGTTCTCACATCTAGTTTCACAAGCATATTTATAATGGAACATTAGAAAATGAAATAGGATAATAGTAGGTGTGTGAATGATCACTAAGCAGTATTACTGACAGTAATAGAAGGCCCCAAAAACCTAATTTTGATTAGGCCTGCCTTGAAGAATACTTCACAATGTCTCCTCCCTGCAAGTCATCACTTGCACTTGTTTTCTCTCTCATGACCCTCTTAGACTACGTCCGATAGGCCCACCTAGGCTACATCACTCTTTGTCAGCTCATTTTATATAGTTATATCATTATAAATCAACCTACTGAGCTTTATGGCAATTTTGTGAGTCTGCCTTTTGGGTACAGCCATTTACAATTCTTAACCGTTGCATTTAAAACACACACACACACACACATCACATGAACACATCCCACACAGTGTCATATAAACCATTCAATCTGTGTCTCTGTGTAAGGCCAAACTTCGCAAACTTCCCCAACCGTCCCATCTTCATTCATTCACCTGACTATAAATGAACACACTAAGCATGAAAACACTCAGCTGAGTCTGCTTTCTATGTTAGGTAGCATTCTCACATACACATAATGTGACACACAAAAAAAAGTATGTACAGTCCTATACACTTTACAGATATTCAGGTGCATGCAGGCAAAAGTAGCCCGGCTGTGCTTGTGCCTCTGACTTCCACTTAAACTCTGTTATCAGATTCTAAATATACTGTGCTGGTGCTTATCGTCTGTAGCCTCAAATGCTCAAGCTACATGTCTACATGTTCCGTTCAAAGATTTACACAATTTTAA